ATATCCATATATTTGTCATACAACAAGTGACACGTACCTCACGTGACTCACTACATGTGGTTTTATTTAAATGACACAAACTTTATAATAAATATTTGATCTGACATTCTTTGTTCTGTGCTTTAAGATAAACACCAAAATCAATTAATCAATCAGTTAATCGAACAATCAATCCATCTTTATTTATGTAGCGTGTTTCAAGCTCAAAGCAACCCAAAGTTCTTTACAGCTCCTGAATATTTCTGGTGGTTAGAGGGACTCGGAACAAACAAAACCTTTCTTAGTAATTACAGCCTGTTGCTCAGGCTGGTTTAAGTTACTGGAATATATCCACCTTATTCCTCGCCCCCATGGTGCCTTGCATGCATTAGGGGCGCAACTTCCAGCGCGGATCAGAACCAACGTTTGTTTCTGTGCCAACAGTACGAGCTAATGTACTTTTTCTGAGCATTGTGGATTTAATTTAAACGTGTAGGAACACCACCTGTCAGAGCTCAGACAGGACAATGTAGCTACATCTACTAGCATATTTAGCTACATCTACTAGCATATTTAGCTACATCTACTAGCATATTTAGTTACATCTATTAGCATATTTAGCTACATCTACTAGCATATTTAGTTACATCTACTAGCGTATTTAGCTACATCTACTAGCATATTTAGTTACATCTATTAGCATATTTAGCTACATCTACTAGCATATTTAGTTACATCTACTAGCGTATTTAGCTACATCTACTAGCGTATTTAGCTACATCTACTAGCGTATTTAGCTACATCTACTAGCATATTTAGCTACATCTACTAGCATATTTAGTTACATCTACTAGCATATTTAGTTACATCTACAAGCGTATTTAGCTACATCTACTAGCGTATTTAGCTACATCTACTAGCGTATTTAGCTACATCTACTAGTATATTTAGCTACATCTACTAGCGTATTTAGCTACATCTACTAGCGTATTTAGCTACATCTACTAGCGTATTCAGCCACATCTACTAGCGTATTTAGCTACATCTACTAGCGTATTTAGCTACA